ACACTCACAGATGTGTGGGGTCACAGAGAGGCAACACATGTACAGTGGTGTGTGTGTGTGTGTGTGTGTGTGTGTGTGTGTGTGTGTGTGTGTGTGTGGTGTGTGTGTGTGTGTGTGTGTGTGTGTGTGTGTGTGATGGAAATGCTGAAGTTGACTCGGCCGATGCGATCCGTTGGATTCACTGTTAAACCGGTGTAAACAAGGTTAATGTTGCTCTACACACACACACACACACACACACACACGGCCTCAATCAACATCTGCGTTTCTGTCACAGAGAAGCTTCTCATGAACCGTTTTTAGAAACTCACTTCCTGTCTTTACCTGTTTCTCCACAGCTGTGTTAGTCGAGCAAACACTTCACACACACGAGTCCTTTGAGCGCGCTGACACACACACACACACACATTACTGGGCATATGTCCAGAGACCTTGGTCTGTCTGCGCGAGGGTCAGGCGTTCCTTTTCCTCTTCTGTTGAGGTCACTTCCTGTGTACTGACACACTCCTCACATGACGTGTGTTTGAAACGGGGCTGATGTTAGCGGATTGGAAGTGATGAGTTTTCAGCGGCTTCGTTCACATGCATCACTTGTGTTTTTCATTGCGATTGATGAATCTGAATGTAGTGTTTACATGAACGCTGAACATGTGATCGGGTTGATGTGTGTGTTTATACGTCACACACTTCAAATCTGCACACAGCACGAATATATACAGAGTTTCCTGATGTTTGCGCATAATAACTATTCTCCATCATTGGTTCAGCAAAAATGGCCAAAACCAGTGGTGTGTGGATGAGAGTCTGAAGCGGCACTGGCGGCCATCTTGCCACAGGCAGCTCGCTCACTCGTAACATTGTGTTTTAATGGTGCATGTACTTTTTAAATAACCATAACTTGCTCAATTTTCTACCGATTTTCTAACGGTTTGGTTTGTTATAAACGTCAGAGATGTAGTTATGACACTGCATACTTATGAATAATAAGTGTATCAATAAATAATCATCCAGAATTATAGCCACGTTAATAATTTTTAAGAAACGTTTGTAAATCCGTCAAGATTTCACCGAGATAAGAGTATTTGTGTTCGTGCGGATCACTCATCTTACATCAGGCACCACAGAGCCCGCCAGAAAGCTTGCCTGTGACAAGATGGCCGCCGGTGATGACGATAGAGACTCCGCCGTAAGACATCTAGCCTTTATTATGGGTATCTATGGCTATTGCTACGTCATTACGCTATTTCTACGTCATTACGCTATTTCTACGTCATTACTCTACGTCATTGCGCTATTTCTACGTCATTACGCTATTGCTACGTCATTACGCTATTTCAACGTCATTACGCTATTTCTACGTCATTACGCTATTTCTACGTCATTACGCTATTTCAACGTCATTACGCTATTTCTACATCATTACGCTATTTCTACGTCATTGCGCTATTTCTACGTCATTACGCTATTTTCAACGTCATTACGCTATTTCTACGTCATTACGCTATTGCTACGTCATTACGCTATTTCAACGTCATTACGCTATTTCAACGTCATTACGCTATTTCAACGTCATTACGCTATTTCAACGTCATTACGCTATTTCAACGTCATTACGCTATTTCAACGTCTTTACGCTATTTCTACGTCATTACGCTATTTCTACGTCATTACGCTATTTCTACGTCATTGCGCTGATTTCTACATCATTACGCTATTTCAACGTCATTACGCTATTTCAACGTCATTACGCTATTTCAACGTCATTACGCTATTTCTACGTCATTACGCTATTTCTACGTCATTGCGCTATTTCTACGTCATTGCGCTATTTCAACGTCATTACGCTATTTCTACGTCATTACGCTATTGCTACGTCATTACGCTATTTCAACGTCATTACGCTATTTCAACGTCATTGCGCTATTTCTACGTCATTACGCTATTTCAACTTCATTACGCTATTTCTACGTCATTACGCTATTTCTACGTCATTGCGCTATTTCTACGTCATTACGCTATTTCAACGTCATTACGCTATTTCTACATCATTACGCTATTGCTACGTCATTACGCTATTTCAACGTCATTACGCTATTTCAACGTCATTGCGCTATTTCAACGTCATTACGCTATTTCTACGTCGCTATTTCTAAGTCGCTATTGCTACGTCATTACGCTATTTCGAACGGATTATAAAAGAAATAAACACTCCTTTCAATCCGATCGAAATCTCATTGGGATCGAGCTCAATCGGATCGATTAAGGTGTTTTACATGAAGCTTTCAGTGCGATTGAGCCGTCAGTCCGTTACTAGCGGATGATTGGTTGCATGTAAACGAAGCCAGTGTCAGTGTTTATAGCTTGTACCTGTCGTTCCCTCTCCGCAGACTCTGTGTTCATGATGGCGAACGCCTCTGGAAGGTTCTCGGGACAGAAAGCTCAGCTCTTCATGCCCCAGTTTAAGGAGAACGACACACACTGCGTCATATTCCAGTATTACGGTGCGGGTCGAGAGGCGTCCAGCCCCGGCCAGCTCTACATCTACGTCCGGGAGAACAACAGTCCTCTGGGAGTGCCGGTGTGGAACGCGTCCGGTCCCGCCCTGCAGAAGTGGACCCAGGTGGAGCTCGCCGTCAGCACCTTCTGGCCCAACTACTACCAGGTGATCACATGATTTCTACCGTGATGAACACAAAAACTGTATTTTTGTCTGGTTTCCACTCCAAATATCTAAAAATCCTTAAATTGACCCCATAACAAACTAGTTCTTGTTAATACAATGATGGTGTGAGCCACCACAGTCATTTAAAAATTCCCACAAAGTACAAAATAACACAAAGTGAAAGAAAAGTGGCATTTCGGGGATCTGGAAACAACAATGAATAAACAATACTAACAAGACCTGATAATGAACATCAGACCCGCATGCAGAACCTTCTCAGCGAACATTTTATTTATTGGTATTTTACATTTATTTTCGTGACCTACTAATTTACAACGTAACAACGTTTTATGCTCGTAGTTCCTGTTGTGCCGGTTCTCTAAAGTAGTCACGATTCGCACCAAACACATCATCATAATGCGGGTGGACTTTTCTTTTGTAATCGTGGCGTATCGTAATCGCGATCAGAAACCGGATTAATCGCGCAGTGCTATCGGAGCCACAGTGAAAGGCTGCTGCGCATCTCATTAATTATTTCCGTGTCCCGTCACTCTCGACACACACACACCTACACACACACTCGTGTGAGACGCTCGGCTGCCAGACTCCACCGCCCCGAACATATGGACACTTGAGGAGCCTCGTGAGGAGATAATGAACTGGGTCTGAGAGAGGGAAACACGTCACAGATCAACATACACACACACTCACAGATCAACACACACACTCACAGATCAACACACACACTCACAGATCAACACACACACTCACAGATCAACACACACACTCACAGATCAGCACACACACTCACAGATCAACACACACACTCACAGATCAACACACACACTCACAGATCAGCACACACACTCACAGATCAACACACACACTCACACAGATCAACACACACACTCATACACACACTCACAGATCAACACACACACACACACTCACAGATCAGCACACACACTCACAGATCAACACACACACTCACACAGATAAACACACACACTCATACACACACTCACAGATCAACACACACTCACAGATCAACACACACACTCACAGATCAACACACACACACTCACAGATCAACACACACACTCAGAGATCAACACACACACTCACAGATCAATACACACACTCACAGATCAACACACACACTCACAGATCAACACACACACTCACAGATCAACACACACACTCACAGATTAACACACACACTCACAGATCAACACACACACTCACAGATCAACACACACACTCACAGATCAACACACACACACTCACAGATCAACACACACACTCACAGATCAACACACACACTCACACACACACTCACAGATCAACACACACACACACTCACAGATCAACACACACACTCACAGATCAACACACACACTCACAGATCAACACACACACTCACAGATCAACACACACACTCACAGATCAACACACACACACTCACAGATCAACACACACACTCAGAGATCAACACACACACTCACAGATCAATACACACACTCACAGATCAACACACACACTCACAGATCAACACACACACTCACAGATCAACACACACACACTCACAGATCAACACACACACTCACAGATCAACACACACACTCACAGATCAACACACACACTCACAGATCAACACACACACTCACAGATCAACACACACACTCAGAGATCAACACACACACTCACAGATCAATACACACACTCACAGATCAACACACACACTCACAGATCAACACACACACTCACAGATCAACACACACACACTCACAGATCAACACACACACTCACAGATCAACACACACACTCACAGATCAACACACACACTCACAGATCAACACACACTCACAGATCAACACACACACACTCACAGATCAACACACACACACTCACAGATCAACACACACACTCACAGATCAACACACACACTCACAGATCAACACACACACACTCACAGATCAACACACACACACACACACACACACACACACACACACACACACACACACACACACTCACAGATCAACACACACACACACACTCACAGATCAACACACACACTCACAGATCAACACACACTCACAGATCAACACACACACACTCACAGATCAACACACACACTCACAGATCAACACACACACTCACAGATCAACACATCAACACACACACTCACAGATCAACACACACACTCACAGATCAACACACACACTCACAGATCAACACACACACACACACACTCACAGATGAACACACACACACACACACACACACACACACACACACACACTCACAGATCAACACACACACACACTCACAGATCAACACACACACTCACAGATCAACACACACACTCACAGATCAACACACACACTCACAGATCAACACACACACACTCACAGATCAACACACACACTCACAGATCAACACACACACTCACACACACACTCACAGATCAACACACACACACACTCACAGATCAACACACACACTCACAGATCAACACACACACTCACAGATCAACACACACACTCACAGATCAACACACACACTCACAGATCAACACACACACTCACAGATCAACACACACACACTCACAGATCAACACACACACTCAGAGATCAACACACACACTCACAGATCAATACACACACTCACAGATCAACACACACACTCACAGATCAACACACACACTCACAGATCAACACACACACACTCACAGATCAACACACACACTCACAGATCAACACACACACTCACAGATCAACACACACACTCACAGATCAACACACACACTCACAGATCAACACACACACTCACAGATCAACACACACACTCATTGATCAACACACACACACTCACAGATCAACACACACACTCACAGATCAACACACACACACTCACAGATCAACACACACACACTCACAGATCAACACACACACTCACAGATCAACACACACACTCACAGATCAACACACACACACTCACAGATCAACACACACACACACACACACACACACTCACAGATCAACACACACACTCACAGATCAACACACACACACTCACAGATCAACACACACACTCACAGATCAACACACACACTCACAGATCAACACACACACTCACAGATCAACACACACTCACAGATCAACACACACACACTCACAGATCAACACACACACACTCACAGATCAACACACACACTCACAGATCAACACACACACTCACAGATCAACACACACACACTCACAGATCAACACACACACACACACACACACTCACAGATCAACACACACACTCACAGATCAACACACACACTCACAGATCAACACACACACTCATTGATCAACACACACTCACAGATCAACACACACACACACACACACACACACACACACTCACAGATCAACACACACACTCACAGATCAACACACACACACTCACAGATCAACACATCAACACACACACTCACAGATCAACACACACACACACACACACACTCACAGATCAACACACACACTCACAGATCAACACACACACACTCACAGATCAACACATCAACACACACACTCACAGATCAACACACACACTCATTGATCAACACACACTCACAGATCAACACACACACACACACACACACTCACAGATCAACACACACACACACACACACACACACTCACAGATCAACGCTCACACTCACAGATCAACACACACACTCACAGATCAACACACACACTCACAGATCAACACACACACACACACTCACAGATCAACACACACACACACACACACACACACACACACACACACACACACTCACAGATCAACACACACACACACTCACAGATCAACACACACACTCACAGATCAACACACACTCACAGATCAACACACACACACTCACAGATCAACACACACACTCACAGATCAACACACACACTCACAGATCAACACACACACTCACAGATCAACACATCAACACACACACTCACAGATCAACACACACACTCACAGATCAACACACACACTCACAGATCAACACACACACACACACACTCACAGATGAACACACACACACACACACACACACACACACACACACACACACACACACACTCACAGATCAACACACACACACACTCACAGATCAACACACACACTCACAGATCAACACACACACTCACAGATCAACACACACACTCACAGATCAACACACACACACTCACAGATCAACACACACACTCACAGATCAACACACACACTCACACACACACTCACAGATCAACACACACACACACACTCACAGATCAACACACACACTCACAGATCAACACACACACTCACAGATCAACACACACACTCACAGATCAACACACACACTCACAGATCAACACACACACACTCACAGATCAACACACACACTCAGAGATCAACACACACACTCACAGATCAATACACACACTCACAGATCAACACACACACTCACAGATCAACACACACACTCACAGATCAACACACACACACTCACAGATCAACACACACACTCACAGATCAACACACACACTCACAGATCAACACACACACTCACAGATCAACACACACACTCACAGATCAACACACACTCACAGATCAACACACACACTCACAGATCAACACACACACTCACAGATCAACACACACACTCACAGATCAACACACACACTCATTGATCAACACACACTCACAGATCAACACACACACACTCACAGATCAACACACACACACTCACAGATCAACACACACACTCACAGATCAACACACACACTCACAGATCAACTCACACACACTCACAGATCAACACACACACACACACACACACTCACAGATCAACACACACACTCACAGATCAACACACACACTCACAGATCAACACACACACTCACAGATCAACACACACACTCACAGATCAACACACACACTCACAGATCAACACACACACTCACAGA